AGAAGAAGAAGAAGAAGAAGAAGAAGAAGAAGAAGAAGAAGAAGAAGAAGAAGAAGACCATGACCATGAAGACCACAACCATGACGACAATGACGACGATGATGACCTGAGGTTCAATGAAACAAATGAGAAGTTGCAGATACAATTCCAGACATAGTTACCTTATCTTTTAAAAAGGTGTCAAACACATTCACTGGAAGAAAGACAATCTCTTTAATAAATGATGCTGCAAAAACTATCTTTCCACATGCTGAAAATTAAAATTAGCTTTTTATGTATGTGGTACAGGGTCTCACTACGCAGCTCAGACTTAGAGTGATCCTCCTGCTTTCAGCCTCCCCAGCGCTGGGATTACAGGCATGCACCACCAGGCCAGGTGTTGGTGGCTGGTTCAGCGTGCTAGGGGCAGGACAGGCATGGCATGTGGTGCTGGGGATCAAACCTGGATCCTTGCACTTGCCTAAGCAGGTATTTAGACCATTGAAATATCTCCGCAGCCCTGCAGATTAAAATTAGACCCATATCTTTCACCATTTACTACATCAAAATCACATGGATCAAAGATCTGAATATTAAAATGGAAACATTAAATCTGCTAGAATAAGGAATAGGTAGAATGCTTGAAGCCATGGGTGTAGGCAAAGACTTTATGAATAAAATGCTGATCACATAAGAACTATCACAAAGAATCAACAACTGATATCTCTTCTTGCTGAAATGCTTTTGCACAGCAAGAGAAACCACCAACAGAGTAAAGAGACAACTCACAATGTGGGAAAAAAGTTGACCAGCTATTCCTCAGACAAGATTATTATCTAGAATATATAAAGAACTCAAAACAACCAGACTCATCCAATTTAAAGATCTAATCCAAAAATGCGCACCTGAAGTGAGTAGACACCTCTCAGATGAAGAAATAGAAATGACAAATAAATATATGAAAAAATGTTTGACGTCTTTGGTGTTTGTTCAGTATCTTTCTGTACTTGTAAAATACAAATTTTGTTCAGTATCTTTCTGTACTTGTAAAATACAAATTAAAACCACTCTGAGAGTCCAGCTCACCCTAGAAAGAATGGCTATTATCAAGAAATCAACCAATAACAAATACTGGTGGGGCTGTAAGGAAAAAGAAATCCTTCTTCACTTGGTGAGAGTGTAAACTGGTGTAACCACTGAGAAGATCAATCTGGACATCTCTCAAAAAAACTAGGACTAGAGATCCCATTGACCCAGTTATTCCTCTTCTTGATATCTTCCCAAAAGAATTAATAGCAGCATACCACAGTGATATATGCGCATCCATGTTCATAGCAGCACAGTTTGTAATATTCAAATCTTGGAAACAGCCTAAACGCTCATCAACTAGTGAGTGGATAGCGAAGATTGCAGAGAGGCTCCCCATCCTCTTCTTGCTCTGAGAAGTTTATATTTGTAATCCAGTGAAAAAATTGTTAGAATTCTAGTGAGCTAATTACAATCTATCACTTGCAGTGCAAGGCATGAGAACAAAGACAAGTATTTGTAGTTGTGGGGAACCAAGGGAGTCCTAAATCCAACCACATTGTTGGCTAAAGTGAACAAAAATCTTGACCCAGGGCTGAACCCAGATTGTATTAATTCATTAAAAATGGAGAGGCTTGATGATTAGTGACTGTGAGAGTGGTAGGAAATACATGAGTACTGTGAGCAGGGCTAGGTAGGTCATCTGAAGTCACCTCTGCAATATGCAGAGAGAAGGATATGTAGAAGACTAATATTCATAACACCATTTGGGGAATCTTCTGTTTTGGGAATGGTGCTTCAGCTCTGATGTATAATTGTCTATGCCCTGGGAAGTCACAGCTTCTTATCTCAAGGCTTGATCCCAGCCAACAGTGTGGAGCATGGTTCTCCATCCTGCCTGGCTCTCATGAGTTTTGGGAAGCTGTGGGTGGAGTGATACTGACCTGTCATCTTGCTTCAAATACAACACCTGGACTGGACTGATTTGCATTGCTTAAAGCCAATTAAAGGGATAAGCAAAAGTTCTCGCCAGCTATGTACATAGCACTATGTGCTGAGAGGGCCAGATTTGACCAAAATGGAGATAACTACTCTTCTTTCATGGAGAATCCTCCAGGTTGTCCTCCACAAAAGATACAAATATTTAACAATGCGGTACTATTCTGCCATCAAGAAGGCTGAGCTTAAGAGGTAAATGAACACACCTTGAGACCATGCTATTAAGTGAAATAAATTGGACTCACGTGTGTAAGTACTGCATGGTTTATCTAGTGCGAGAGACTGAAAATATAAATAAGGGCCAAAATGTTTACTAGATTCTGTGACATAGAAAATGTTCAAATGGGATGGGGCGCAAGGGAAGGGAGAAGGCAGAAAGGAAGGAAAAATAAAAGTGCAAATAAATGAGAAAGGAAGGAAACAAAGCTTTTGTAGATAAAGAGAAGAGAGATTGAAGGGAAGGTGGAGGAATTGTGAAAAAAAGAATTAAACTACATCTTGTACAAGTATAAATTCCGTATGGTGAATGCGGTCATTATGAATACCAAAAATGCACCAATGAAAATCATTTTCTTTTTTTTTTATCTGTGAATAATTATTTATCAAATTCTTTCTATATGTTGAGGATTCAGTTAAAGAATTATACATATGCTAATTTAAAAAATTTATTGTGTATGAGAACTCCATAAAGTGGATTTTTAAAATGTATTTTAGTACAGCATCTACAGGATCTCACTATGTAGATCAGATTCATAGTAAAAAATCATTTTCCTTAGAGAAAAAGAAAAAGACTAACTGTCCTCAGTAGTGGAATGTATTTGTACATACATCCAATAATGCATTCGATGAAGATTTGCCAAGTCTTCCCTCTGTGCTAGGCTTTTAGCAGCTGCTGAGATTTGGTGGTGCCTGAAACTAGTAAGTCAGCCTCCTGGGGCGCATTGTCTGTCCTGCTGGGACACTCGGCTTGTCCCGCAGATCAGCGAGGTGCTATCCAAGGAAAGTACAGGATGCTGACAAGCACGTACAATGTTGCCTCATAATCAAGGAGTACAGTAAAAGAGAAACGCAAAATATGTTGTAACTATTCATAGTCTCTGTGAAAGATGCATTAGCCAAGCCCAGGACTCTCTCTAGGAGCAACCATTCACAGACAGCTAGCCACTCAGCAGAGAGGTTCTAAGGCATGAAGGCCTACGGAAGAATGTTTAGAATCACTTCCACGAAGGAATGAAGGAAAGAGGGCCGGTGAGATAGCTCAGTGGTCTACAGTGCCTGCTTAGGCAAACTTAGGCAGGGACAGGGGACTGCAGTTCTATCCCCAGCACCACATGCCGTGCCAGCCCCGCCCTCAGGGTGGGCTGAGCCAGCCCCCTCCCCCCGCCAAAAAAAAAAGAGAAAGAGGAAACTTCTGATGTTATCATTTAAATAACATGCAAATAAAGTCCAACTTGAAAGAGGAAATTTGAAAGACACACCTTTATAATAAGGATTAAATATGAGGATGTATGACTCACCTTTCTCTCTCTACTTGACTTTGACAAAGCTTCAACCTCCTTAAGGTTCCCTTTGGGAACTGCGGTAAGAGACTCATCATGCACTAGCAAAGCCCTTCTTGAGGGAGCTGGGGTCTTTTGATATTGACTGCTAGAATTGATACTACTTTGAGGGTATAAATCCTCAATTGTCTGAATATTGGGGAATTCTAGTTCTGTCCTGGTGTTGTAAATGGACTTGCTTCCATGACATGACATCTTTGTGACACAGCAAAAGATTATAAATTAATTTTGTGGTCAGCCCTGGCAAGACAGTGCCTACTTGTGTTATGCTGGTTGGCTGCAGCCACAGCAACCTTTTACTCGAGACCAAAGTTCAGCCACTGTAAAGATTTATGGCCACGTTCATAGTTCAATGTTCAGTAGCAAGAGCTTTTCTGGGAGGAGTGAGGTTGTATATGTTACAACGAAGTATTAGACTTCATTTCCAAATACTGGACTCCAAATGATAAGGTCCAAAACTACTACAAGAAAATCTTTGTTTACGCCAAGGAACTTATTTTCCAGAGAAAATGCCGACAACACAGAAAACATTGATGTTCTTGTCCAGCTTTGTCACAAGCCTTGGATCAGTCGTCACAATTTGTTCGATTCTCGCCACGCAAGCATGGGTCACCAGTACACTTGCTATCAGGGATACTTTTTCCAACGGCAGCGTTATCATCACTTGTGGTCTTTTTCGTGGTAAGAGTACTCAAGAATTGGTTCAAGGACTTACTGAACCAGACAAAGATTTTGAAGGTAAATAACAAACTTATTTGGATGGATGTAGTGAAACTGAATGAAGGTTCATGTCATTTTATATTTGGACCAAACAATAATTCAAAAACAATTTCCTTGTAAGCTTGCAGTTAGACTAAATATATCTGTCATGTCGTTAAGTCAGCCTGCTCAGTTCTTATTGGCCTTTTTTGTCACAAGAGTCTATAAATAATTCTAACATTGGCTATCTGAATGGTACCTACCAAGTTTACTGGCAAGTAAATAACTGAGTAAAAATATTCAGTAGCAATATGATATTCTATAAGTAGTAGGAACAGAATTTGTAACTATATTGGCTGTGGGTATTTAGATGGAGTAACAATCTCTGTCCAGAATTTCCTAAGTAAGCACGGGAAAACAAAAAAATGGAGAAGATAGCCATTTGTTTCTATTTCTCAACTTAGTTCCTTTAACAGATTTGAATTTCCATTCTTCTCCCAAAAATATCTCATTGTTGGAAACGCTATTTAAATTCTAATTCATACGAATCTCTTTTTTTCTTGAACTCTTATATAATAGTGCCTACCTCTTAGCAGATAGAAAATACAAGTTTATTGAGAATAAATTGCTTTAGCTACCTGAATTTGAAGTTTGAGAGTCACCATAAATTTTTTAATTTAAAAATTGCATTTTAAAATTACATAACATGTAGGTGGACTTTGTTTTGAACGTTGATGTATGCAACCCAGGTATTATCTTTTTTTTTTTTTTTTTTTTCGGAACTGGGGATTGAACTCAGACCCTTGCGCTTGCCAGGGAAGTGCTTATTCCACTGAGCCATTTCCCAGCCCCGGTATTATCATATATATAATTTCTACCTTTTAGATTATAAATTATCACTTAATCAGTTAAGTGATTAACTTAATCACTTAACTTCTTCTTGAATAGATCCAGATTACACTGAAAATCCTCAAAAAGTAGTGAATGCCACCAAGTTCTGCTGTGTTCCTGCACAGGACTGACCGCATTTGCTAATGCTAGCTGTAGAGTTTGAAATGAAAGAGAAGAATGGGTAACAATGCCTGACTGCAAAGTGCCAAAATCATTCAACGAACAATAGGACAATTGACTTGGAAAATCATTGGTCAGACCCAGTAAGGACATACTCCACTGTGTAACTGGGCTATTTGGGGGAACCCAGGCTGGCTATGGTGTCCTCCTTTGTCCAACATCTAGACAAAGAGTGACAAGTTCTGCATATCCATGAACAGATTATTTTTGCTGTTCCAGAAAGTCTTGATATCTAACTTCAGTTCAAAAACATCTCTGCTTATGAGGAAGGTGCTAGGATGCTCTTACAGCTTGTATCTAGATGACCTTCCCAAAGCCTTTTGTGGTCCTAGGTGGGATGTTTTGGAGGGGGCTGAATCTGGAGTGTGTGACACTGGAATTAAGGTTGTGATGCTGAGATTGTTATTGTGAGATACTAGGATTAAGGCTGCTCTACCCAAGTGTGAGTGCTCCCCCCACACACTAACACAGCAAAAGGACTGCTGTCATTGCTATTG